AAAAAAAAAAAAAAAAAAAAAAAAAAAAAGGAAAAAGAAAAGAAAAAAAGAAAGTAAAGCAAGAAGGGAATTGTTCACTGAATCAAGTGCTTCCAAGAGGACTGGGGATTTACCAATGGATTTGAAATGAGAGAGCCACTGGTAACCTTGACCAGAAGAGTTTTGGTGAAGTAGTGAGAACAAAGACCTCCTTAGAAAATGTGTTTGGCGTATTTACTTTCTTTGGGTTTTGCTGTATTTTGCAAATGTTTTACAATGCACTTTTAACATCAGGAAAACAATATAAACATACAGTTTCATCATAATTATGTAAAATGTTTGTCCATTAAAAAAAATTTATCCTGTTCTTTAATGATACTAAGTAAAATGTCACTGTCCTTAAAACCAGGGGTCATCTAAGCTTTCCTATTTTTTTCTCTTTATCTGTCCCCAAAAGCTGTAATGGAAATATGAGGTCTAATTACTCCTTTCTAATGAAATGTCTTCCTCTTTTCAAGGATTCAGACTATGTTTTACGCAACATGATGGTTACAGGGCAGCTGGGTCTAACAGAAATCCACAAAAATCCTCCTACCATCTACAGGAAGTCATGCATCTTCAGGTATGAAACATGTCCGTTTTGTTTGCCAGAACACATCCTTCTGGTACAATCGTAGATCTGAAAGACACAGCTTCTGGCTCTTGCTCATACACACTGACTTCTATTCTTTCTTTTTAATTTAATTGTATTTTAAGTTCCAGGATACATGTGCAGGTTGTGCAGGTTTGTTACATAGGTAAACTTGCACCATGGTGGTTTGCTGCACCTATCAACCCATCACGTAGGTATTAAGCCCCACATGCATTCACTATTTTTCCTAATGCACTCCCTCCCCTTTCCCCCGTGACAGGCCCCAGTGTGTTCCCTTCCCCATGTCCAGGTGTTCTTATTGTTCAGCTGTCACTTTTAAGTGAGAACATGTGGTGTTTGGTTTTCTGTTCCTGTGTTAGTTTGCTGAAGATAATGACTTCCAGCTCCATCCATCTCCCTGCAAAGGACATGATCTCATTCTTTTTTATGGCTGCATAGTATTCCATGGTGTATATGTACAATATTTTCTTTTTTTTTAATTTTACTTTAAGTTCTGGGGTACATGTGCAGATTTTGCAGGATTGTTACATAGGTATACACATGCCATGTTAGTTTTCTGCCTCCATCCCCACCCTGTCACCTACATTAAGTATTTCTCCTAATATTATCCCTCCCCTGTCTCCCCACTCCCTGCTATCCCTCCCCTAGCTCCTCACCCCCAACAGACCCCAGTGTGTGATGTTCCCCTCCTTGTGTCCAAGTGTTCTCATTGTTCAACACCCACTTATGAGTGAGAACATGCAATGTTTGGTTTTCTGTTCTTGGATCAGTTTGCTGAGAATGATGTTTTCCAGATTCATACCTGTCCCTGCAAAAGACACGAGCTCATCCTTTTTTATGGCTGTATAGTATTCCATAGTGTATATGTGCCACATTTTCTTTGCCCAGTCTATCTTTGATAGGCATTTGGATTGGGTTCCAAGCCTTAGCTATTGTAAACAGTGACACAATGAACATACATGTGCAGTACCACATTTTCTTCATCCAATCTATCATTGATGGGTATTTGGGTTGATTCCATGTCTTTGCTACTGTGACTAGTGCTGCAATGAACATACATGTGCATGTATCTTTAAAACAGAATTATTTATATTCCTTTGGGTATATACCCAATAATAGGATTGTAGGGTCAAATGGTATTTCTGGTTCTAGGCCTTTGAGATATCATCACACTGTCTTCCACAATGGTTAAACTATTTACACTCTCACCAACAGTGTAAAAGCATTCCTATTTTTCCACACTCTCACCAGCATCTGTTGTTTCTTGACTTAAAATCACCATTCTGACTGGCATGAGATGATTTCTCATTGTAGTTTTGATTTACATCTCTCTCTCTCTCTCTCTCTCTCTT